ATGTGGTGTGTGTGTGCTGTGTGTGTGTGTGTGTGGTGTGTGTGTGTGTGGTGTGTGGGGTGGTGTGTGTGTGGTGTGTGTGTATGTGGTGTGTGTGTGGTGTGTGTGTGTGTGGTGTGTGTGTGCTGTGTGTGTGTGTGTGTGGTGTGTGTGTGTGTGTGTGTGGTGTGTATGTGTGTTTGTGTGTATGTGGTGTGTGTGTGCTGTGTGTGTGTGTGTGTGTGTGGTGTGTGTGTGGTGTGTGTTTGTGGTGTGTGTGTAGGTGGTGTGTGTGTGTGGTGTGTGTGTGTGGTGTGTGTGTGTGTGTGTGTGTGGTGTGTGTGTGGTGTGTGTTTGTGGTGTGTGTGTAGGTGGTGTGTGTGTGTGGTGTGTGTGTGTGGTGTGTGGTGTGTGCGTGGTGTGAGTGTGTGTGTGTGGGTTGGGGTTTGTGGGGGTGGGGATGGTGGGGTGGGGGGGTGTGGTGGTGGGTGTGTGTGTGTGTGTGTGTGTGGTGGGGGTACCATGGTGCTGAGGGGTGAACCCAAGGCCTCACATGTGCTATGCAAGAGCTCTCCTACAGCATTATAACCTTAGACTTTTCCTAACTTTTCATTTTGAGACAGGGTCTCCGGAAATGCTCATGCTGGCCTTGAACTTGTGATTCTCTTGTCTCAGCCTCCAGTACCACCAGACCCCTGATTACTCTTGTTACCTTTTCCCTTCTATCAACAAGCATGGGTTGTTCTAGATCTCCATCTTGGTCTTGCCTGTGGTTTCTACTTCCTGCCTCCAATTTCCCTGCCATGTAAGGAACACTGTCTGGTACTGGGGACTTCCTGAGATCCAGCCTGCATCTCCCAGTACTTAGGAGTGTTTCCACTGAGCTAGCTGTGTTTGCACTTGGACTTCTGTGATGGGCTCGGCTCTATGTTGAGGCAAGCGCCCTCAAGCATGCTCTTCAGGGTGGATGCCGGACAGAAGGAGTCTCAGCTTTTCTAAGATACCCGTGGGATTCTTCTGAAAGGCACTCGAGAAATATGCTCCCTGGTTCACTGACCTTTCAAAGTGCATGGATATGGGACTTAAGGGAAGATGGACTTCTTCGTTTTTTTGTAGATTTGTTTTTACAGTGGAGACTTGCAGATGGTATAGAGTGTCAGTATATCCCAGCAATCACCTCAGGGCTGCAGGGCAATGCCCCTTCAGCTGCTTCATCATTTTCTCTTACTCAGCACAAGGTGTTCATGAGTGATTTGTGGAGCTGCCCATGGAAAAGGAAGATGCGCTCAGCCGTGGATGCCAGAAGATGAAATGAGATTTCAGAATTTATGACTGAGGCAAACCACCCTTTGCCCTATTGAAGAGGCAGGCAGACTGTGCAAGGGCAACGGAGTCACTTGTGGCTCCCGTGAGCAGCATCTTGGGGTAGGAGGGGAGGTGTTATCAGCTCTCCTTTTCCCTTTCATCAGGGGCAGAGGAGCACATTGTCCAGCACCTGGTGACAGTTCTGTAGGTTCCTGACCTGGATGGTAGCCACACAGCCATGAATAGTAAATGTATTAGATAAACTCTTGAAATTCAGAATTCAGATCAGGTCTTGGAGGCGGTTTACCCAGACTCAGCAAGGCCTTCCTTCAGAGAAAGTACGAGTTATTAGCAGGACTATTACAAAGGAAACACTTAACAGACCAAAGAGGCCAAGTGCTCTTCCAGAATGCCTAATGCTCTAGAAGTGCTTATTAAAGTCTATGAATAATTAATAAGCCTATTTTAATTCTTTCTTGAGAGCAGATTCTCTTAGGCCTTTTCTTCAGCTACTCTTAGAAACAGCCTTCATTGTTCAGCTGTCCGCTCCCTGAAGGCAGCCCTGAAGCTCACCTCAGTGCCTACAAAGTGCCATGCACATAGTAGGTGCTCAGTAAATCTTGAATTAGTTGAGGATTGATTAATTAACTGTCAATCAATAGCATTAATTCCAGGATCTCTCCCACATACAATAGTTGGTAAAGACATACTTCCTGGAGTTTATCTTTGGTTAGGGAGTGAAAGGGATCCTGGGCAAATGACTGCAAAAAAGAATAAGAAGGTGGGCTTAGGATGTTTGTCAGTATGTGTCATGGAGAGGAGTAAGCAAAGGACCACCCGACTGGAGACCGATTCTGCCCACAGGGTGTTCTGATATGGTTGTCTTAAGTCATCGTAATTGTAATTAATGGTTAACCACTATTTAGTGCATTCATTTCTTCAGGGGCAGCTACTGGCTCAAGGGGAGACTCTTCTCTCCCTAGAACAGTTTCATCACACCCATGGAATGCACACGCTACTCCATTGACGAAGACCTTGTAACCGAGTCAAAACCTTCTAAAGACACAATTCACGTTCAAAGTGTAGGGAGAAGTATTACTCAGATAATTGGCTGTCTTTCCCTTCATGTGGACATCGGGTGATGTTGCCTGCCGATTACTCAATAGGGGAGAATTCTGCTTCATCCTTCTGGTCCTGCATGGCCTCCTCAGATCATCAGGTCTCCCACTGGCATGTGGATGCTCTTCTGTGTTCTCCACAAACAGAGATGCCCTGTTGTTCTCTGGAGAGTGAGTACTGCAGCAAGCCCACCAAGACTGCTTCATTTGGAACAGCAAACATACCTGAGGGAAACCCGCCACTTTTGTGAAATATTCTGCAACTCCTTCCTTCCTTCCTTCCTTCCTTCCTTCCTTCCTTCCTTCCTTCCTTCCTTTCTTCCTCTAGTTCTTTTTCTTTCTTCCTCCTTTTCTTCTCCTTCTCCTTCTCCATCTTCTTCTTTAATCCAAGGACACTAACATGGACCTGGGTTCTGGCTGGGTGGTTTGTTTGCAAATAAAGTGTGTGTTCACGTTGCACACCAGGCCTTGACTGTTAATGAAGGACACCTATATTTCAAAGCAGGGAGCTAATTTGTATAATTTATTCCTGGGAAGTTTTTACAGCCAGGATGCGTACTTCCCCTCCCTTAACCTCTTCAGGTTTAATCTGAATAACAGCTACCCGTGCTGCTGGCTGCACGCTTTGGGTGTTCATCTTTCCATTCTCAGTGGGTGGAGGGAAGTGTCTTCATTCCTACCAGCAGCTGAGAGGCATGTCAAGGGACCAGACATTCGCACTTTCCACTCAGTTTATAATCAACAAATTCTTACCGGGAGGACTGCACTTGAAGTGCCTAGCTCCTGAGTTTCTCTTTCAAGGACTTGACTGTAAAAGCAACTTCTTCAAAGCCCTTATCAATTCCAGCTCCCTCTGCAGCTGCTGCACTGCTTGTGTTCAGCCATGACCTGTGCGGTGGCAGGGGCACTTGTCGGTTTCTACCTCTGATTTGGCTGAGGTGTCACCTGGCCATCAGTCTTATGGTAATTCTGGCTGGCTTATTTGCAGTGTGTTTATTCCCTTCCTCAGTTCACTTGGAGTTACACCGATTTTGGTTAATCAATGATCTGACAGATTGTGCCTGCTGTTTTTCCCCCCTTTTCAATTGTACCAACATTTATCTCTCTGTCACAGATCAACCTAAGAACTCAGAGCTGCAGCTCTGTGTGTCTCTTGACTGAGATCCGCTTTTCTTTGACAAGTCCCCACGTCCAGATAAGGGGTTCCATTTCAAAGCTGCTCTCAATCCCTAGTTCTGTAAGTAGCAGAGGGCATGGGTGGAATGACTTAAAACCTGGCACCCACAGTTCTCTAGTCCCCCGCCCTCTGTCACCTCTTTTCTAGGCCAGATAAGCCCCAAGGGGCCCTGCGAGGTTAAGTTTGCCTCCTCTCGGCTCTGATAACTCCCTGCAATGATCTGGTAAGCAGTGTGCTACATTTAGGGTCTGGAAAGGCAGACAAAGGAAGCACACAGGCTTAAATTAATACTTGACAAGAAAAATCTCATTTTCCTGTGATTAGGCTATTGCTAGACAAAGTAGATTATATTCTTGATTCTATCCCTTGGTCAGTGCAAGTATTTTCTTGTGTTGTTACTCATTGCCGCTCTCCTGTTCTCAGGAGTGTTTTATTAAAATGCATTCTGGTTTATCTTGAACAAAAAGAATGGGTTTCCTGATGCAGAGTGTTTCATACTGATGCTGGAGGAACTGTTTCTTGGACATGGATGTGTCTTGACATCATTCACGTAGTCATGAATGTAGCCATGTCTTTGGTCTGCTCTTGATGCGGAGCAGAGTCAACACAGCAGGCCAGGGCCCACTCTGCTCAGAAACGCCTGCTCTTGAGGGTGGTCTCTGCTGGGAACATGGCTGTAAATCACCGTCTGTGCTAATAATATGAGCCCTGTGTGAAGGCTAAGCGTGTCTCACTTCCCTTAAACGGCTGATACAAATGACTCGATTATAGTCAACATCTGCTTTGCTTCCAGGAGTCTGGAATTTTGGAATGTCCTAGGCAGGGGGTGCCTGCATGACCAGCCCCAGTGAAAATCATACGCACTGAGTTGCTAATGGATTCCCTGGCTCCACTGCTGTATTTTTGCTGCTTGGGCAAAGTACAATCTGGGTGACTCTTTGTAGGAGAGCAACTGTGAGCATAAGAAGTCTCTATGTGGATGCCCCAGAAGCTGCCTGAATTCTCTGTGTCCCACGTGACTCAGCTGTGAGTCTCTGAAGCTATAGCCTATGCCCCAGAGGCTCATCTAGCAAGTCTCTTGATGAAGGAGCCACCTGGGGAACCTCTGAGCCTGCCAGTAGTTGTTATGAAATTCCATAAAACCATTTGATGGCATTGTCATCCAAGATGTAGAATTGACCCTCTGTCTTCTTCACTCCTCATGTACTTCTCAAGAGCTAGGGTCTGCTCAGTTTAGTCTGTTCTTCCACTGCTCTGACAGGCATCCCCTCACTCTAATTTGTTTCATCATCTCTAAACTAATTTTACAAAGTCTACATCTTAGAAGGGCAGCTAGTAAGTGCTGAGACCATCAGCAAGTGTAACTGGATGTTTTAGAAAAACATACATTCAAAACAATGTTACAATAGCTAATAATGTCCCTACGGAGACCCTCAAAAGTGTGCCCATATATTCAAAGCTGCTCTGTATTGGTTAATTTGAGACTTTAACTGAGCCAGCTATGTTTGGATGATATTTAGAACGAAATAATGCTGATAAGGTCAGGGGGTTTTGTCTTGCTCCAAAACTGTGTGTGTTCATGTTTTCCTCAAGTAGACAAGGTATACTGTATCAGTATGAAGTTTTACCTTCTCGTTGTAGATGAGCAGCTGGTGTGCGGATGTTCCAAGTGGGGACCGGTGAATTTGAAAAGGAACAAGAAGCCGAGGGCAATGGAGCAGGACCGAGCAACTCTACAAAGAGTCACTTGGTAGGTATTAAGAATGGTAGTAACTTTGATAGTAGTCTAGTCTTGGCATGGAATGAATCACACCTTTCAAATGAGGTCTATTTTTAGATGTGCTAGAATCCCACAGGTCACTTTGGTCTTGTTGAATCAGTTGATGCTTTAGGATATATAAAGTCACTTTATTCTAGGAGGTCCAGTTCTTCACAGAGAGATTAGTGTTGGTGTCATTGACAAGCCTATGCTTATTGCTGCCATCAATATTTAAAAATGGTTTATTAGATCCAAGCTTTGTGGGTGAGAACATGGGATCAAGTATTTCCCTGGGCACAGAGCCAGCCTTGCAGAAGCTTCCCTATGTTTTCTGATTCACCATGAGGGTCTGCTAGCTCTGCAGGCAAGGACCTGGGTGTCTGTGAGGGTCTTTGAAGGTCAAGATTTCAGCTGAGTGCTTCAGGGCACTGGTCTGCCCTGCCAACAAGGAGGTGTAGTGGTTGCTTATGTAGCATATAGAAAGCGTTATTTGAAAGGGGAAGACATGTTTTACAAGTTCTTCTGGGTAGGAATGGGGTGGTGGTGAAAGTGGACCACTTCTCATAGATGCCGGATGCGAAGGGTTCCCTGAGGCCTGTGGTGAATTCCTCTTGACATCCTGATATTCTGTGTGGCTCATCATTGCTGCCTGTCTGTCTCTAGTGCTCCCTAGAAAATGTTTCTATTTTGTTTCTTAGGGATAAAGCCCAGGGCCCCTGTGTTACACTGAGCCACACCCCTAGGCTCTGAAAATACTTTTAAAGAGAGCTGGGGTTGAGGAGCTTTTCACAGGAGGACCACTCCACTGTGTTAGCTCGGCTGTCTACACTGCCAGTGATGCTGGCAACAGGCTTCTGGGACATAACAACTTTAAAGACTCTTGAAAGCAAACTGTGATTTAAAATGTCCTTTAAAGCTTCCGTCCACCTAGGCACGCACACGCTCTCTCTGTTTGCAGATCAGGATGTAGCTCTCAGTTAGTGCTCCGGTGTCATGAATGCTACCATGCTCTCGATATGCCCCCACTCCACGGTGAGGATCATGGACTAACTCTCTGAAGCTGTAAGCAAGCCCCCAATTAAATGCTTTGTTTTATAAAAGAAAAAAAAACAATGAAAAAAACTTTTTAAAAGCGTATGAAAACAGCATAGGAATGCATTTTTTGAAGAATCTCTAAGTGCCAGGGAAATGCAGCCATCGAATGGGCTGAAGTTAGCATTGTAAATTTCACGCCCTGAACACTGGCTCTGGCTCATCCCCTGGCCTGAGTTAGTAACCCTATAGGATTGCCTAAAGCACGTGTGATTTCAGAGAAAAACTGGTAAGTTACTGCAGACTCAAATGAACAGAGCACTATCAAACTAATTGTAATGGTTCCCATGTACGAGTGGTGCTGGCTCTCCCTGCACACTCAGAGATGCCCTGTAAGCTCACACATTTGCTCCTTTAAGCATTCCCTACCTTCACAAGCTAAGGAAAGGGTTCACACACATACATCTGGGGCTTAAGTTGGCATGTGTGCTTGTCCATCTACTGATGGTAAATACCATTTCTGGTAGCCATAGAGGACTGATGCAGTTTTATATTTAAAAAAGAAAGAAAGCCTGCGTATTTGTAACACACTGAAAAAAGCAGAACAGTTGAAAGGAGAGCGACACGCACCATACTCTGGGACTTGGCCGGTGCCCCGCTTCAGCAGCAGCCTCGCTCTTCGTCCTCCGGATTTGATGAGTTCTATTGCTCTGGCGTGTGTCATGTCCCTTGTGCTTTCCCCATTGATTTCAATGATTTGATCTCCTACCTGTCAATTAGAGAGGAATGAAGTCAGGCAAACGTGTGCATTTCCAACTGTTCAAATATCACCCCGCTTGTAAAGAGCACCTGTGCGGCTTGTCGGCCTCCTAGGAAAGGGTCATCCATGGCTGAGTCTGACTAACTTCATCACAAGCTGCACTACTCACAATTAGGATGGCAGAGGCCTTAGTTAAAACACTAGGCATTAAAAAAATGGAAAAATAAATCTGATATTCCACTTCAAAATATCCTGGAAGCTTTGTTTGAATTGAGAAGTAAATATTCCAAGGCTTTTTCATTGAACGCATCACCAGCCTTTGGCTTTGCACAGTATCTGTTTAGCACACTGGGAGGAATGATTAGTTTTTGTGCTGCTCTGAGAATATTTGCTATGCATCATTTAAATTTCTCTGGGTGCTATTGCAATAAAACTGCCTTCATGGTAAACAGCAGTTAGCTGATACTCCGGTTTGATGATGAGTTCTCTATCACTGTCCCTTGAATTAAAAATGAGACTCTGTTCTCTCCACATGACTAATGCGCTAGTGAAATCTTTGCCACGCTCACACCTGGTTGCCAGAAGCTGTTTGGTGAAGCATCATTCCCCCTGGAATTGTCAAAAATGCTTGTGCTCCTTAAGAAGTTCCCGTTTAGCTTTTGTGAATAGACAATAGGATATAAAGAGCTTCAACTCTGAACATAACCTGCAGCCTCCAAGGATCATTATTGTCATGGGCATTTGAACTAAAATGTATTGAATTCCAGGGCAAGTTACTTAAGACAAATTAGCCAGGGAAAATACAATGAGTTGCTTTGCAAAACTTTATTGTAGATGGTTTCTTAAACAAAGAAGATCTCATCCTAGTTGATATCTATAAAGCAGAGAGAACCAAGAACTGCAGTCAAGTAGATTGGGCAGACAGAGGAGCAGGCTGTTGCTATCACCGTGGCAACAGAGCACAGCAGTAAGAGCCCCAACATACTTAACAGGGAGGTTGCATCTCTGTCTAAGGAGGATTCTTCTAGAGGTCCAGACCCTTTTAAATATCATGACAATAAGGATTTCCCTTCATGTGCTTGGTGGACTCTAGAGGCATGGGATTGGGGCAGCGGAAGATGATGGCATCGTGTCTGTGGCATCCACATTACACAGGATAACTCAGAAGGCAGGACTAAAATGAAAGGTTAATATCATCATATGCAATACCCCATATGCAAAGTGTTCCGTTTGTGTTTAAGGTACCTCTCAGGAATTTGGGGTTTGTTTATAAGACACCAATTGGGCACTCACTTTAAACAAGGAGTAAATTGACGGGAGCAAGATGGTAGTTAGATGTTTCTCTGAGTGGAGTGGAAAGATGGGAGGTTGATATGGTGGTCTGAAGGCTGTCTCATTATCTACCAGGTTAGACATCGTAAAGAAGACCCTACCTTTAGGTGGAGACATAACCTTGCCTCCTTCCTTCAGGTGAGGGATCTGTCTTGGGGGGAAGGCTCGGCTGGGTCTGTGGGCATTCCTTAGAAAGGCACTGCTTATTTTGTCCTCCTCCTCTTTTTTCTTTCCGTACTTTTCTTTTGGACTGCCAGAACCTAAGGAATCCTCCCTTCTCTATCTCTTTAGCACTGGGATGACAGGGACTTGCTGCTGTACCCGAACTTTCGACATTGGCACCGAGGATCTGAAATAGGGCTCCTGCTTGTGCAGTAAGCATATCACTGGAGCCAGATTTCGCTCCAGACCCCTCATTCCTCCCTTATTGGGAGCAACAAAAGTCTTGGACTACACCAAGATATTACTAAAATTAGAAAAAAAAATCCTTAGGGGTGGAAGTGTTTAATAGAATGGAATCACTTCTGTTCATAATTTTGCCGGGTGGTCTGGGTACCTTGCAAAATGGACCAGCTCATTTGGAGCTAGGTCAACATAAGAGATAGTCCAGCCTCAGCATGGCGATTCCTGTCTTTCCTTGTGCCAGTATGAATGGCAGAAAGGCAGAATTTCCATAGTCATTCCAACAGTTTTATGTTTAACCATTTTAACCGAAACTCTCTAAGTAAACGTAGGATCCGGCTTCCTTCATTTCCATCCTCTGTATAGAAAGACGGGCCTGTCGGCAGGAGAAGGCCTCTCATTACTTTCTCATCTCATCCAACTTCACTCCAACTTGTAGTGTATGCCCCTAAAGCATCATGTTCCTGTCTATGAGATGGGAAATTAGTATGAAACCCACAGTCGTTCAGGATGAAGAAACTGATGTGTTCTCTTTCTGTATTCTCTCCACTGTAGAACTGTCTTCAATGGAGATATGTGACTAAAATGAAACTTCAAGGAGTTCTTAGAGAATTTGTAAAATACTGTATTCCAAAATTCAGGGAGGGGGAGAAAAGGACAGGGAAGAAGAAAAAGGGAAAAGGCAGGGAAGGCAGGATGGAGACACGGAGGGATGGAAGGGAGGAAGGAAGGAGGGAGGAGGGATGGAGGGAAGAGGGACAGAGAGAAGGGACAGAGGGGAGGAGGGATGTAGGAAAGAAGGGATGAAGGGGAGGAAGAAGGAGGGGAGGACGGATGGAGAGGAGGAAGAAAGGAGGGAGGAAGGAAGAAGGGATGAAGAGGAGAAGGGAAGAAAGGATGGAGAGGGAAATGGAAAGAAAAAGGCTTAATTCAGGCAAGGTGATTTTGGACTTGTGTGTGGCCTGGGGCCTTGTGTCATTTGAGGAAATACGAAATTTAGAAAATTAGCCAAGGGATTTAGAAATATTATTATCTGTGGTCTCCTTGGGGCAATAGCAATCTTTAAGCAAAGCTATGCCTTGGGGCAACGCAGGCTGAGGTGCCTGTCTCCTTGTGGCATAGCCTATTCTGTCCCACACCCTTCATCTACCTCAGGTCCTACACTATGGTGGAGTTTTCATTAACAAAATTATCATCAAATCCTCACATGTGCTTGAGGCTGTGTGAAGTAAATTCTTTTTTTTTTCTCTTCCTACTAGAAGGCCAAGGCAGGTAAAGGTTAATCTCAGAATTTAAGTGATTGGCAATTCAGATGTTAAACTTTAAATTCTGTACTGACACATTTTGGTTTTGAGATAGTGTCTCTCTCACTATGTTATTCGGGCTGGTTCCCAACTCTTCATCCTCCAGTCTCAGTCTCCAGAGTGCTGGGACTCTAGGCATGCATAAACACACCCAGCCCTGGATACAGTCACACTGCTAAGTCACACGAAAAGTATGTGGCTCAATAGTCTTTGTATGAAATACATTAAGTACAGCTTCATTTCTACTTCTTTATGGCCCTCTGTATGCTCAGAAAGTTTATTTATTTATTTATTTATTTTCTTGTTTGTTCAGTTTTTCTGAGGCAAGGTTTCACTATGCAATCTTGGCTGGTGTGGAACTCTCTGTGTAGATAAGGCTGGCTTCAGCTTCATAGAGATCTGCCTGCCTCTGTCTCTGAGAATGATGGGATTCAAGGCGAGCGCCACCATGCCCAGCTGTTAGCGATTGCTGTCAGTTAATGGTTCTTATCTGACTATTACAAAACAAGAACTGATTTTCATGACTGTCATGAGTGAAACGATCCCAGATTATAGCCCAGTGTGAGAAGCTGGGCTTCTCACCCATGGATAAAAGATTACTTCTTCAATTCCTTGTTTCAGGGAGGTTGAGTGTGGGCCACATTTGTGGCTGATATTCTCAGGTCCCATATCAATGTCATACATATCACTTACAGACTGTTCTTCCCACTGATTCTATGTTTTTTGTTCCTGCAACACCTCCTTGGCAGGTAGGTCCTCAGCTAATCAGGTTGAGGCAATGCATGCTTGGTTTGCTTTTCAGTTATAGCCAACGTATTCATTCTCATGATACAGAGAAGTAAGCTTTGGGCACCTCAGCATACACCTCAAGTTTTCTGGAAACACTGTCTTAAGCAACTCAAGCCAAATTGTAATAATTTCTATAGCATTTGTAGGAAACAAGATGAGGTTTTCATAAAGGTGAACTGAACAAACTATTAGAGGTAAGTTAGAAATGAATCCTGAAGGAAGAAGAGGGGGAAGAGAAACTTCGTAAGGTGCTAAAGGAAAAAAAAAGTGAGAATTAGGGCCTTCATCGCTCTAGGTTATCACTTCTGGCTACTCAAACAGGAGGATGCTGGTGGCCACAAGTCACCCCACTGGAGCAAGAAGAGACAGACTGATCCTTACTTGATAGTGACTTTAATATACTTTTAAAATTGTAAAAATGTTTAGTTTTGCTTTAGCTGTGTTAGTGTTTTGCCTGTATGTTCACCATGTGCATGCCTGGTGTCTGTGGTGGCCAGAATAGGGCATGTGAGCCCCTGGAATTATGGTAACTGTTGGTAGCCAGCCAACACGTGGCTTTTGGGAACCAAAGTGCTCCCCTGCAAGGGCAGAGAGTGCTCTGAGTCAGCCTTCTGTCCAGGCTGACCCTTTATATTTCATGACAGTTTTTATGATTGACCTTTGATAGACACACTATTCCTATCACCATTCTTCTTATAGTATTATTCCAAAGTGCTAGAAGCCGAGTCCAAGCCTAGTGCATACCAGTGCACTGATGTCTGAACCGCATCCCCTGCCCTGTTAGTAATTATTTACAGTGAACATATTTTCCAAGGGCTCCACCAAGTGTTTTCTTAACCACCTCATTCCTCTTGAATGAGATGGGACACAGCTACCTGTCATATTGCCTGGTTCTTGTTACACAATGGGACAGGAGCCTGTCAAGTCAGCAGGTTCTTCCACAGAGAAAACTTGGGATCCAATTGGAAATGGAAACGAATGTTTGAGATTGTTCAAGCTGTGAATTTTATTTGTCTCAATTTGTATGTTGAAAATTGAGTTTTTGTCTTTATATTATGTTCTAGATAAGTAACCATTCAAAAGAGAAACTTTCTAATATCTCTCAAGAAAAATCTGTCCTAATAGAAACATGAAATGACCTTGATCAAGGTGACACCTGAGTGCACACAAGCCTAGGAGGGC